GTTTAAGAAGTTTATTTATTGAATCCCGGAAAATAATTCCCCGGAAAAAAAATCCCCGGAAATTAATTCCCCGGAAAAAAATTCGCCAGAAAATAATTCCCAGGTAAATAATTCTCCGGAAAAAAAATCCCCGGAATAAAATTCCCCTGGAAAATAATTCCTCGGAAAAAATTTCCCCACTATATATTGAATTGCTAATGCATTGCTAAACTGCATTGCTAAAAGGCAATCAATCATTATCAATTATAAATCAATCAAAAATTTATTACGTATATTTTTTTAATGATAATTTTTTAAACTTTTTTTATAATATATTTAAATCATTTTTTTATTATAAATGAAGAATACTGATTAAATGATATAGTATATAATTTTATTTTTATTTAATATTATTAATAAGAAATTTATTTTTCTAGCTTATTAAAACAAATATACATTTTATTCAATTTTAAAAATTAACAAATATATATCCGTAAGAGGGCGTTATATGTTTTAATATGTATCATTTTAGGAAACCGGAATGATGATTGGATAGCATTTTTTTTATATTTGGGTATATATATACATATGAAAAACCTAAAAATTAAAAATTTTTTTTAGGTTTCTTTGATGTTTAATGAGTAGGTTTAGAATAGTAAAACAATGGAAATTTTTTAAAGTAAATATTGCTGGCGTTATTTATCAAAATCTCTTCATTTTTGTTTTATACGTGTGTATATTTACGTGCTAAGCATTATTCTAAAAATATATTGAAAATAATTTGATTTGACCGATTGCCGAGCTCAAAACCGATCACTCACTAAATATTCGATTGACCAAATTTATTAGGAATATAATTTGAAAAATGTTGATTTTCGTTTTATATATCTATAAATACGTATAAAACATAATCCTAATAATTCTTCAGAATTAATTTTATCAAAATTTTTAAATATTTTATTTGAGAATTATTATTTCGTTGATTTATTTATAGGGACTTTTTTCTCCTAATTTTGTAATTTTAATTATCTTAAAAACGGAGATTTTTTTTCCGGGGAATTATTTTTCTAGATTCTTTTTTTAATATAGCTTACATTTAATATATTTATTGTAGCTTTCGTTCTCTTCGCTACACTGCACAAGGTACGATTCCCAAACAATTTATTTTAAATGAAATAGTTACATTTCTCATATTTAAATAAATATATTATGCTAAGCTAACCTATCTCATATTTTACTTTTAATAAACCTTTTATCGGTCCGTTGTCTCACCCCCTCCTTCATTATTATATAGGATTTAACTTGTAATATACAATAAATTTATTGAATTTAAAACAAATTAAACAATAACATAAAATTTATCGAATTTAAAAACATTTAATGGTAAATCTAAATATATTTCCGCGAATATGAAGTTGATGATTTATTTTCAAAAAAGATACTCCAGCAGTAGTCCGCCAACATATTTATACGATTCTTGCCGGGAATTTAAATTGAAAACTTAAGACCCCCCAAAACGAAATTCTTTACCATTTTTCTCAAAAAGCAATCGATAAAAAATTATAAAAATTAATTTATAAGGAAATATAAATCTAACACTATCACCAATTTTCAGGGATTTTCATTTGATACTTTTTAAAATATATCCGTATTACCATTTTTGAGATTTCGAAAAGTTGCCTTTATACGATAATATTTTTACTTGACGTGAAGGGAAAACTTAGAAAACGAATTCGAACTCAATGTCAAATTCTGCACCAAAACTTGTTTTTATTTATTTTTTCTCCCATTTTTCTTGTCACACAGTACAATTAATAAAAATTGATAAAGACATAAATATTAAATAAAACCTATACAATAATTTTAATCTATATTTTTTCAACTTTTAGGTAGAGATATCAACATCCAAGGATGTTTTTATCATCTAACTCAATCAACTCATAGAAAGATTCAGGAATTGGGGTTAGAATCATCATATCGGAATGATCCAATGTTATGCTTATTTGCAGCTATGATCGATGGATTAGCATTCTTACCTATACACGATGTCAAACGAGGTATGGAGTATTTAAAAACCATTGTATCGGATGAAAACAAAGAATTATTGTTTTATTTTGATAAAAATTATGTGAATGGAGAATTGAGACATGGGAAAAACTCTCAAAGGCAAGTAGAGCCATTGTTCCCACCAGAAACATGGAATGTGTTCAATGTTACGATTGCTGGGGAAAATCGAACAAACAATGTATGTGAAGGATGGAATAACCGATTTAAGCATATTGTAGGCAACAAAAAACCGAAGATATGGGAACTACTCGAAAAAATAAGAATGGAAATAGCGGTTGATATGGGAAAAATCGGCCAATGGAATATTGAGACATACACTCCCAAAAAAAATCGTATTTATGCAACGAAACAAACTATTTTAAAAAATTTATGCATTGATTATTTAGAAGAGAGAAGGGATTTGCCCAATTTTCTCTCTTCAATTGGAGAACATATACGTTCTAGAATTGTTTCTTTTGAATAATATAATTTATTATTCTATATATCATTTAATAAAATTATAATTATTTCTTTTCTGTAACTTTTGAAAAAAATTCATAAACAAAATAATAATTGTTAGATTAGAAAAATATAATACTCACTGCTGATAATCACCTCTGGATGTATTTTGATTAAAGTGGTCAGCATTTTTCATTACTTTTGGCAGTATTTAATTAAAATTGGGCAGTAAAAAATATAATTTTGCAAGTTTTATAGTGATTTTGTATTCAGTCAGTTAAATTCTTAAAGTAGGTAAATACTTCAGTAAAATAATATTTATCAAATAGAGGGTATCAGATTGAATTGCTAATTTCCTATTTAGCCACAAAATTTATAAAATTATATTATTTAATAGCTTATCCTTGTAAAAACAAAAAGGGGCGCTATTTAAGAGTCAGTAAACTGTGAAAAGCCTTTTATCATATTTCTAAAAAAATGATTAAAATTTGTGTAAAAATAATTTTTCAATAAATACCTAAAAGTTGATGAAAGTGTGTAAAGGTGAACTAGATTTATTTAACTTTCGTTTTATTATTAAAAATCTCAAATCCTCGAAGAAATTTGACTTTAAAAAACATTTCTATTTAATTAAATACTGCAGAGCAGATCCGGGTCACGGGATTTTTTTCCCGGGGAATTATTTTCCTAGATTCAAATTTACTAGTAATATAATTTGAAAATTGTTCATTTTTGTTTTATATATCTATAAATACATATAAAACATAATCCCAAAAAATATTTTAAAAATATCGTGGTTTGGCGGATAACCGACTCGTATATTTTTTACTCGTAATTATAGATATATAAAACAAAAAATGAACATTTTTCGAATCATATTACTAGTAAATTTTATCAATCGAATATTTAGTAAGTGGGGTTTTGAGCTCGGCAATCAGTCAAATCAAATTATTTTCAAAATATTTTTTAGGATAATGCTTAGCACGTATATATATACGCGTATAATACAAAAATGAAGATTTTTCCATGGATAACGCCAGCAATGCAGTATTTGGTCATTCGGTCGGTTTTCAAGTCAAATCACGATATTTTTAAAATATTTTTTGGAATTATGTTTTATACGTATTTATAGATACATAAAACAAAAATCAACATTTTTCAATTTATCTTAATAGCAAATTTGATCAATCAAATATTTAATAAGTGGTCGGTTTGAACTCGGCAATCGGTCAAATCAAATTATTTTCAAAATATATATACACGTATAAAACAAAAATGAAGAGATTTTGATAAATAACGCCAGCAATATTTACTTTAAAAAATTTCCATTGTTTTACTATTCTAAACCTACTCATTAAACATCAAAGAAACCTAAAAAAAATTTTTAATTTTTAGGTTTTTCATATGTATGTATATACCCAAATATAAAAAAAGTGCTATCCAATCATCATTCCGGTTTCCTAAAATGATACATATTCAAACATATAACGCCCTCTTACGGATATATATTTGTTAATTTTTAAAATGAAATAAAATGTATATTTGTTTTAATAAGCTAGAAAAATAAATTTCTTATTAATAATATTAAATAAAAATAAAATTATATACTATATCATTTAATCAGTATTCTTCATTTATAATAAAAAAATGATTTAAATATATTTTAAAAAAAGTTTAAAAAATTATCATTAAAAAAATATACGTAATAAAATTTTGATTGATTTATAATTGATAATGATTGATTGCCTTTTAGCAATGCATTAGCAATTCAATATATAGTGGGGAAATTTTTTCCGGGGAATTTTATTCCGGGGATTTTTTTTCCGGAGAATTATTTACTTGGGAATTATTTTCTGGGGAATTTTTTTTCCCGATGAATTAATTTCCGGGAATTTATTTTCCGGGGATTTTTTTTCCAGGGAATTAATTTCCGGGGATTTTTTTTCCGGGGAATTATTTTCCGCTTACCATATTTAGTCCATGTTTTCACAGTAAGTTTTTATACTTGTAAATTTTTTACAGCCAATCTCATTATCAAGTAAGCACATTTCGACACTATTCTTAAATGAGCCTATTATATGGGATCATGATGTTAGAGCTTAATTTTTATTATGATTTTTTGCCATCATTAGATCTTAAATTCTATTTGCACCAATGTGATAATTGATCCTATATTATTTTTATAGTCATTGTCATAATATTTGAAAAAATATATAAGAATAGCCCTGGATCGAAAGGTCTAAGTTGTCAGCATGTAATATTAATATTTAAAATTAATTAAAATGATTTTTTCCTTTAATTAAAATACTTTAAAATATGGTTTAAACAATTATTTAATAAAATGAATAATTATTTTTAAGAAAGTGATAAATTAAAGACCCAACATTTATAAAAATGCTATTTTTGTAGCAACTTGTTCTTCTTTTTAATCTAATTTTTGATACCCAATGGTTAATTATTTGACTTTTCTCAATATCTTATATTGAATCACTTAATCTTTTATTCTATATTCTTAGGCTGTTATCGACGCCGACATAGTCCCTATTTTAATATCATTACTGCCCAAAGCGGAGTTTAAAACTAGGAAGGAAGCTGCTTGGGCTATAACTAACGCAACCACTGGAGGGAGTCCTGAACAAATCAAGTTTAAATTCTTACATAAATAGCATAATTAAGTAAGGCTATGCTGATCTACAAATTTTTCACAGATTTACTGATCTGATATTTATATCTGAGGTCTAACAAATGGTTAATTTAGTCTCAATCAAGTGGGAATATAGCTAATGCATAACTAAGCCAAATTTCTACCCTGGCAGCCCAGTTTCCAATTTTTTATTGCTCTGCCCCATAAAAAAATTTTAAATACAAGGCTTAAAACAAAATATATGTTGAACTCAAAACTATATATAGTTTTGGTAAATTGAAAACACTATACTTATGGGTTATCACTATAATATCAGAATTTATCAAATGTATATTTTAAAAAACCCGCCCAAAATAAAATTTTCAAACGTTATCCGGCCAGATCTTTTATTTTTATTTACCATCTACCTTTGAACTAGAGATCTGCAATGCTCGGTCTGGCCTTACGTCTGGCCCTGGCCAGGCAAAAATGTCAACCTTTTATTATTTTTACATTCTAATTGTAAATTTTAATAAAATGTATTATATAACTTTATTTATATTTCTTCTAGTAGAATTTTCGCATATATATTTATTTATTCTTCAAATAAAATAATTGTATTTTCTTTATATGGTCAACCCAGAGCCGGACATAGCCAGAAAAAAACAATTTGGGTCAAGACCAGGCAAAGAATTAAACGGGCGGACCTGACAAAAATTGAAAATACGATATTTTTTTTGCCATTTTTGATAATAATCTTAATTTAATCGTAAAACATGAAATCATCATTGACAGAATTTTTTAAAGAACCGCGCTGGACCCGGATAAAATTTGGCCAGGCCGGGCTAAAGCTAAATCCTTACCGGGTCAGGCCGGGCCTAAAAATACCATTTGCAGACCTTTACTTTGAAACAATATAATAAAAAATCAATATTTTATATTTAAAAAAACCAATTAACTTTCAATGATTAAGTATATTTGTTATTTTATTCTCCAAAAGTTAATTATCTCATTTAAAATGTGGGAAATGTTTACAGCTTAGTAGGAATGTTTAATATCTCGATTTCGCCGATTTTTAAAGCGGAGAAATCAAGATTTTATTAATTATTTCCTAAGTCTAAATTTCGTTATTAAAAGTCCAAACACTTCTACCATCTATAAAACTTTTAAACTTGGGTAATTTACTTATGGCTAAAATCTTGAATTAGCCATTTTTAAAAATCGGCTAAATTGAGCATTTAACAATACTAGTTGAATGTGTCTCTTTAGATATTTTAAATCCTTTTCTTGTTGCAGATAATATAATGAAAAATTATATGAAACTAGCTACTCTATCTTTTAAAATAATTGATTTTTTTAAATATTAGAAAAAATTGATTAACAAATGAAAAATTTATTATATATACGCAAAGCAAAAATAACAACCAAAAACAATAAAAATAGGTTCCTATTTAATCCTACAGATTAAAACTGAAATACTCAGAAAAAAATTCATTAGCGTTCAGAAAAAATACTGAATGCTCAAAATTATTTTTTATTACTCAGATAAAAAACTTTATTGCTCAGAAAAATATCAATTGCTCGGGTAAAAAACTGAAACGCGTAGATCAGAAAATGAATAGCTCTTAGAAAAATATGTGAAAGAACTAGTTACTTAATAGCTCAGAAGTTTTTTTGAAATGGTAGAAAGTCAAAATGTTCTTAAAGACATAGTGATGAGTGAAAATTACAATTTTATCAGTAAATTTTTATATTAGCTTTTATAAGATACCAATATTGAAATAATTTGTTTAAATTGTTTTTAGCTTCTCCATGAATAATAGTTATAATTATCTAATTGCTCTTTTTCGAATTATTATGCTAAAAACTTTTTAATCCCATTTCATTCACACTGAAGACTTAGAGTAATCAATCTATGTCCTTATTATGCCGATATATTATGCTAGGATTTTTTAACTCCCAACTCTATCATACTCAATCTAAAGTATAGTTGGGTAATGGCTAAATGTGGACAAATTCGGCTTAATATACAGGCGCTTGCCCGAGAAAATCCGCCAATTTTAAGGTATTTTAATTTATATTAGTTTCTTTCAAATTTGAGCTGCTATATTTTTAAGAAAACACCCGAGGCCAAAATGATAGATTTCGGCTAAAAACTGGCTTAAACGGCTAAAAATATAGTAATTACCCAACTATACTCTTAAGTGATGAGTATCAATATAATTAATTGGTCTTTTTAATATCTTTTATTTAATACCCATGTTGAGATATACTAAAAAATTTCCCCTCTCCTCCACTCCACCCCTACTTATTTTACCTACCTCAAAGACGTAATGAAAATTAATTAATCTCCTAATTAGCGCTCATTTAATACATATGTCGAAATAATGTTAGAAAATTATCCCCCAACCCAACCTGTGTAGATGAGTAAGAATGTAGTCAATTTTTCTATATTTCATTTGATACCCATGTCGAGGTATTTTACTATGCACTTTTTATTCCCTTTATCAGCTTTCATTTGACCATGTTGACATATGTCGAAATTTCCTCCCCCCCCTACACACACACCTACCCTCAGGGTTTCGAACCGTCATATATAGCAGTTCGGTTCATTCCGGTTTTTTGTTTGAAATTTTAAAAAGCTTTTCTTTTATTCCGGTTTTTTTCGAAGAAATTCATATCAATTCATTTCGGTATAATCGTTCTTTGCGGTTTATTTGATTTAAAAAAAAATTAATCGTAATTTAACATCTAAAATGTAAAACTTGCTATTATTTTTAACTCAATATACCATGAAATATAAAACACATAAGTATAAAATAAAAGTATAAAAATAATTGATGCAATGTTATTTAAATTAAAGATTTATAAGAATTTTTTTTTACTATTTTAAGATTAAAAACAGATCTAGAAGAATATTGGAATTATAAGATTTTTCTTTAAATTAAAAGCATTATAAAAACTAATATAAATAATATAAGTATAAACTTGTTAATTTAGTCAAAAATAGTTTTGTGTGATAATTTTTTAAGATTATTTCTCATCTAATTGATTAGAATTAACCTAATATCTATTAAATTGAGTATATAAAGTAAAAACAATAAACGGTATTGATATGAAGATAAAGGCGATTTAATTGTATAAAAAATTTAATTTGAAAAGAAATCATGAATTTAAATTCCCCCTAAGGAAAATGGAAATTTTAAATTTAGGTTAATAATTTTAAGTTAAAAATTAAAAGCCATTTTGAACACAGTTAAACCGGTTCAAAATATATATAACAGTTCATTTCGCTTTTTTTATATTTTATAACGGTTCGGTTCTAAACCCTACCCTTAGGTCATAGAGTGCTGAGTATTAATTTATCTTTTTAGTAGCTTTCATTTGTTGACAAGTTATTATGTTTAAAAAATTTACCCCCTCCCCTCTATCCTAATGACATATATTGCTGAGCATCAATTTATCATTTTAGTAGCTTTCATTTGATAATCATGTCATGATATTATGTTAAAAAATTGTATCCCATCCATGACTTCCGAAAGCAATGTTTCATTTGATTTCCTTTAATTTAAAAATAAAATACATTAATAACAAAAATTTATGAGCGATTTGCTATTTCTTTTGGGAAATTCAATAAAAGAGAAATAAAAATTTTTGCATTGCAAAATCGTCTTTAATTTTAAGGAAAATATATATGATTCAATAAAATTCTTAGCTTTAAATATTTTTTATTTATGGACAATAAAAGATTTGTGATGGTAGTTATTCTGTGCAAAATGATATTAGTCATAAAAATATCGAATCGGATCGGTTTTTTAAAAATATCAACCTGATCCGATATTTTTAAAAACTTTAAATATAGGCACCTCTTAAGTTATATTTTTTTAAATATTTTTGTTGAAATCTGTTTATTTACAGTTCCTCTATTATCAGACTTAGGCACTAACAATCTTTAGTAAATGCTAAAACTTTAAGTTATTAACTTAACCCGTTACTGGTTAACGGTGCATATATGCACCACCTCCTATATACCTTATTTTAACATAGTAGTTTTTTTTTTAAAAATAATAAAAAATATTTTTATATAGTTCAGACATTGTACTTCAAAACTGGAAAAGAAAAATATGAAAAAAATATTTTTTTTTATGCCCCTAAGAAACCCTCAAACTTTGCGAATTTATGAGGTCTAAAATGCAAAATTTTCTAAGTGATCTCACGAGCATATTATAAAATTATTTCGATGAAAACTAGTGTGTATATATTCTTTATAGATATATCAATATTTATCAATCATTTTTGAATTTTTAAATAATTAATATTTTAGTAGGTAACCACATAAAGTTGACTGGTGCATATATGCACCGTTAACCATCTAGCAGTATATATTATTTAAAAAAATTCAAACAAATGAAATTTAACATAATGAATTATAATTTTTTATATTATACTTAAAACCACTACCGTCACTAAGGGTGGGAAGGGGAGGGGTTGGTGGCTCGAGCCCCTTAAGAATTTTTAAAAAAAATTTTATACCCAAAAAAGACCTTTTGAAAATAATTTAAAAAAATTTTTTTCCCCTGAGATTAAATCGAATAATATATTGTTCCTATTATAATTTTTTATCCCGATCAAATTATATGAAATTATTAGGTTCATAAATATTCAAAAGTTTAAAATTATTTTTAGCCTCTTCCTTTCTGAAGATTTTATTTTATTTATATAAAATATTATGCACCTGTTTTGTCAATTCAATCAAAATTATCAAAATAATAGATGACTAATAAAAAAATCAAGATTCTACGAAAATAATTTGTCTAGATATTTAATTTTTAATAAATTTTTTTAATGAAACGTTTTCTAACAATTGAACAAGCGCTTGCTCAACTTTTTGAAGAGGAACCAATTGAAGAAAGAGATATGGTTATAATTCCGCCAAACCCCTCTGCAGTTAGTGATGAAGAAGATTTCGATGAAAATGACTTAACAAATGTCGGAGTTTTGCCTTCAGATACAGCTGGAGA